ATTATTTGTAATATTATTATTAATGTCTTTGTAGTGAAAATATATGTAATAATTAATACTGTATATGTAAATAAGAACACATGTAACTACTGCTATATTAAAATAATAAAACATTAGCACAACTACTAATAAATGAATAAAATGAACAGATTAGCCATTTTCATTCAGTAATGACAGTCTAAGAAGTTATGTATGCTAACCAGCATCTCTATTTTTTCCGCAAACACGAGAAAATGTGAAAGTGTAATAGTGATGACAAAAGCATATCGAACACAAGATTTGTCCCCAAAAATTGAGATTTATTTTTTTTAATAAGGGATCGGCATGATCAACCGATATAAAAAATGCATTTTTTAATATGAAAAAGCAAAAAAAAGCAACTTCGTTTCGTTCTTTACAGGAATGTAACAAATTAACTATACCTACACTATTAAGAAATAATTCACTTTTAAGTTGTATTTTATAATAAAAAGTACAAAAAATATTGTAGCAGTCAAAACCTTAAAACGATCTTCCTTCAAAGTGGTCAAAAAAAATTTTATTATTTTTACCGTTGAGAACAAAATTGCAAGTAAGAAATGCTTACTTTCTATATAAATATTAGTAAAAAGTTTCTGATATTGCTTTAGAATATTGACAGATGAAAAATTAATGCTAAGCTAGATGGACGATATTATTAAAGATGAACTTTCAATATCTTTGTAAGTATATTAAAACATTAACATTAGCATTAACGTTAAATTTAAAATTAGTTATCGTTATCATTATCGTTATAAAATATTATCGTTATCATTAAAATTTTATAACGATGATCTTTTACCTTTTAAATTAGACAATCTTTGGAGTGGATATTTCTCATTTTGGAATTGGGCAACCTAGCATTGAACCATATATTACGATATTACGAGTACCAACAAACAAATTTATATAAAATAATAGAATGCCTTGAAGATATTAAACTGTTCTATTGAAAGCATTCTATAGAAGAATATCGATATAGTTCTTCCGAAAAGGATGATTTTGTTAAGATGGTGTAAGGTTAAGGTAAGTTTTGCAAAGTGCATAATAAAGTAATTACATTGAAAAACGTATTAGATTTTATTTTAATAAATATCAAAAATGTTTTTGGATTTTCTCCGGTCAATAAAAGAAATTTGGAAAACCATAATCCTAGAACTGTCATGGATAAATCTATCATTCATTTAATGAATGTGATTTTTGTAATGGTGTAAGTATTTGATTAGAATTTTTTGTGTAATTTCATGTGATTTCAATAACGATAATTATATCAATATTGATAACGATAACAATCATAGATTTAAAATCTCATTCAAGACTACAAGAAACAATACCGATACGTTTAACTCATTATTATCATTAGCGATTTTATGATGTAGGATTTTCATGATATTATACTTATCATTATCGTTATCATTATAATTTTTATGTACAGCTAATTTTGATTCCTATTATGTTCTTAAGATAGAGCTCCGAATCAGGTCAGGTCGACCTGTTTACCCGACCCGACCTGATAAAAATTCAAGTCAACCAATCATTCTTCTTGAATAATTTATTATCGTTAAATTAGAAATAACAAAGTTGATTAAATAAATTAATA